TGGGTGAGTTCTGGGAGATTTTAAAAATGAGCTGAAAATGGAGAAAAGGTTATGAATTCCTTTTTTTGTTGTTGTTTGTTTGTTTGTTCATTGTTTGAGACTGAGTGTTGCTCTGTCGCCCGGTCTAGAGTGCAGTGGCGTGATTTTGGCTCACTGCAACCTCCACCCAAGTGATTCTCCTGCCTCAGCCTCCCGAGTAGCTGGGATTACAGGACACTGTGCCCGGCTAATTTTTGTATTTTAAATAGACATGGGGTTTCACCATATTGGCCAGGCTGGTCTCGAACTCTTGACCTCATGATCCACCCACCTCGGCCTCCTAAAATGCTGAGATTACAGGCGTGAACCACCGTGCCTGGCCAGGTTATGAATTCTTAAAAAAATAAGGCAAAGGATCTAGATTTTGTTTTTAAAGGTATTTTTACTGCTAGGACCAAGGCAGAAGTTTTTTTAAGACAAGGCAATCTCTTCTTGGTATCATCTATCCACCAAAGACATCAAAGTTAGTAGTCCAACAAAAATCATCCTAATAATTTTATCTGTTCTGTAAATGGATGTATCCCCACTCAATACCTAGAATAATATCTGGGATATAGCAGGTGCTGAGTAACTATCTGTTCAACTAATTAATTCTATTTTTCAAAAACACCAGCTCTAGAGACCTAAAACAACCAAGAGATCCCTATATCTGTTCAGCAGTTTCCTGGCTGACAATCTAACAAAAGCCAAGAAAGAAAGTGCTGCCAGAACACTAATAAGGAAGCATTCTATTGTGCAAAGGCTACTCATGATATAAGCATGTTTCACTAATAATATTCCTTACATTCATAAATATAAGGATAAGAGAATGGGTCCCGAGGTCAGACTGCTCTAGTTTAAACACTGGCACAAACCCCATGACCTTAAATAAGGTACTCAACTTCTCTGAGTCTGTTTCCACAACTAAAACCAAAAAAGACAGGTAGTAACAGTATTCCCTTCTTGAAATTGTTGAAAGGGGGAAATGAGATATACATAGTTCCTGGAACACAGAAGTGCCTAATAAATACTAGTAATTATTCATTTTTGTTTTGTATATATCCACAGTCATAACTGAGGGAAGAATACAGGATCATATATTCATTCACTTCTCCTGACCATAAGAAATGGCCTTAAATAAGAACTAGGCAACAAAATGCATTCTTTCTCCTGAGGGATAAATGAAAAAATAAAAAACAGCTATTAACACCTTTTTTTTTTTTTTTTTTGAGACAGAGTCTCGCTCTTCACCCAGGCTGGAGTACAGTGGCACAATCTTGGCTCATTGCAACCTCCGCCTCCCAGGTTCAAGTGATTCTCCTGCCTCAATACCCCCAAGTAGCTGGGACTACAGGTGCACGCCACTACACACAGCTAATTTTTGTATTTTTAGTAGAGATAGGGTTTCACCATATTGGCCAGGCTGGTCTTGAACTCCTGACCTCATGATAAGCCCACCTCGCTTCCCAAATTGCTGGGACTACAGGTGTGAGCCACTGCACCTGGCCACACCACACTTTTTTTACTCTTCTCAATCTTTATCTCTCTTGGCTTTTCTTCCCACATCTATATAAAACCTTTCCTAAGCTCCTGTGATCCTGGTTTAACATGGCACTGCTGGCTATTAGGAGACAGTTTTTATCTCTGTTCTGCAATAACACTGTGTCCACATGCAAGACATTAAACTTTACAGGGCCTCAGTTTCCACATCTGTGTAATGGAGGAAAAGTATAATGGAGGCAGAGTATATTATCTTTAAATTCTCTTCCAAAGCTAAAAATTCACAAGCAAGTACTCATTAACTATTATTAGTTCATTCAGGTCAAACACTGATCTAAACTCTTAGAAAGTACATTTTCACCCTATTTGGAATGCCCACAAAATGGGTACAAGTATAGCTACCCTCTGAAAGCTAAATTTTGCCTGGTCAGAGGTCTAATTTAAAATGACATTGTGGGATAACGACTGACATGGAAAGGTGTTTACAATATATATTTTTGGTGAAAAAAGGCAGATTACAAAATATGATCAACAATATTAATCCCAATTTGGTTAAAAAAATGCATATATACCTACACATATATCTGCTTGAGGTGTATAGAATACACTCCAAGTTGTTTATGTTTATAATTTTTCTTTAAAAAATGTTTTTGTTAGCAGGGTATAGTGGCTAATGACTGTAATCCCAGCACTGTGGGAGGCCGAGGTGGGTGGATCACAAGGTCAGGAGTTCGAGACCAGCCTGGCCAATATGGTGAAACCCTGTCTCTACTAAAAACACAAAAATTAGCTGGGCATTGTGGTAGGTGCCTGTAGTCCCAGTTACTTAGGAGGCTGAGGCAGAAGAATTACTTGAACCTGAGCGGCGGAGGTTGCAGTGAGCCAAGATTGTGCCACTGCACTTCAGTCTGGGAGACAGAGCGAGACTCGGCCTCCAAAAAAAAAGAAAGAAAAAAAGAAAAGTTTTTGTTTATCTGTACCTTATTTTTCTACAAAGAATGCTTATGGCTCCTGGAATAATAACTCAAACAGATGTTTTATTTAACAAGAAAGATGGATTTGGTACCTAAACTGTAACCACATCGCTCCCTAGAGCAGAGCTCAGCACCCAGCAGGTCCCCTCACAGAGGCACCAACATCCTTTGCACCCTGTGTCTGGGGCTGGGCTGGGGTTGGGGGTGCTGTGATGTTTTTAGGTACCAGCCATCAGGTACCATCAAGATAGCCCCAGATCCCTCCCTCCTGTTCATCTCAACTTTCAGAGCCATCAGCTGCCCGCTTAACTAGCTTTACCAATTTGTAACCCTCTGAGTAGAGTTTTCAAAGCGTGATCAAAGCTCTTAAATTATGGTTCAAGGTTTTAACTGTCACATTCACTGATTTAGAATAGTCAAGGATAGAAGAAGCCATTTTACTCTGGCAGCAATCCAATTTTAAAAGTCAGAGTTAACTACTAGTCCTCATTTTATGCTGTCCGATGCCAGTCCTTTCTGATCACAAGGAAAGAAAGTAAGCTCATCATGTTTAAAAGCATGATCTTAAAATACCTTATCCAGTTAAGCACTTTTGTTTCTAACACAAAGTGCTGACTCTTCACAGATTCTCTGGCATACTGAAAGCCACCACTGCTGAAGCTATCTGATCAACCAAGAACAAGCTTATCACCAGATACAGGTATCATTACATCATAAGGTGTAAAGGTTGTTCTGGCAGCTCAGTCATCCACCAACAAACAGGTGTCTAAGAAACTGAGATTTCCCAATTACCAAAACCCATACAAAGAAATAAGCAACAGCATGACATACACCAGGGCACTTCAGAGAAATGCAACATAAGGGAAAACAGGGTAGAAACAGGAGAGGACAACTCAGAAAAGTGTCCTGAGGAACTCCTCCCACTGGGTAAGCCAAGAATAGGTTACCAGACCCAGGGATCTCAGAAGCACGTAAGTTATGCCTCAATGCTGCTCATCTGCCTTTTACATAGCATGATTACTTGGTAAAACCTACATACTTAAAAATACATTGCTTTCCCACCCTTTCCTACTCTTACCTTTTTTAATTTTTTTTTTGAGACAGAGTCTTGCCCAGGCTAGAGTGCAGTGGCACGATCTTGGCTCACTGCAACCTCCACCTCCCACTGCAAGCAATTCTCCTGCCTCAGCCTCCTGAGTAGCTGGGACTACAGGCTCTTGTCACCACACCCTGCTAACTTTGGTATTTTTGTATTTTTAGTAGAGACAGGGTTTCTCTAGGGTGGTCTCAATTTCTTCACCTTCTTATCCACCCACCTCGGACTCCCAAAGTGCTAGGATAACAGGCATGAGCCACCATGCGCAGCCTTATCTTTATCTTTTAAAAAACCATCCACAATTTAGGTCAGAGCCTTATCCTCTGTTACAAAACATGTTTAGAGTCAGACTACAACAAAGAGGCATAGTGTCTGCACAGCATTATTTTAATGCAAGAAAACAAAACTGCCAACTATAAGGATCTGAAAAATGTGACTACTTCAGGATTATTTTGGGGATGAACCACACCCCTTCCCTAATTATCCCTCAAAGGAAATATATCAGGCACTGTGGGCAAAGAGAGAAACATGTCTAATTACAACATGTGCATTTGGTGGATGAAGAATTTGAACATTCTTGAACTCTGGCCACATTTCAGAAGACTTTCCACTTGTAGTTTAATTTCACTGAAGAGAAAAGTTTAAAGATCAGTTGCACTTCAGCCAGGGCTCTATCAAAAAAAGACACAAGGCCGGGCGCGGTGGCTCAAGCCTGTAATCCCAGCACTTTGGGAGGCCGAGGC